CTCAGCCCATGAGCTCAGAGTGCACAGAGTGGACTCTGCTTTCTGTGGTCAGGTCTCAGGTGATTCCACTGAGGGTCTGCCCTATTCAGGGTCAGGCGTTACAGTGGATCCCCCATCCCTGAGTCCCAATGGACCCAACCCCTGACCCCGTTGATCTGGGGCTCTTGGCTTCCTCTCACCATGTGACCCCTGGGAATCTTTTCCAAGTAGATGCTACATGTTTTCTTAGGGACCAGTCTATCTCATCTCAGAGAGTAGGGAAGCCGTGAACCCCTCTTTTGCTCCATGTAAGTAAACATCCACTCCCCCGCCCCCACTTCTAACTGTAACTCTCTCCGCCCTTCGCACCGAGCTCTGCAAGCTCTCCTTTACCTAAAGGAAAATAAACTCAAATCCACTGCCATCAAGTCAGTTTGACCCAGAGGATCCCACGAAGCAGAACAGCTCCACTGGGCTCTCTTGGTGGCCATTGGATGGCAGGACATCCCCAGACCTCCCTTCTGTGGTGCAGCTGGACAGGTTCACAGTCAACGTTTAGGTCACTTGTCCAACAAAAACCGCCTGTGCTTCTTAAGGACCTTGGTTCTCCTTTAGACCTTTAGAAATCTAAGTCAGGATGATTTGAGAACTATTCTGTAGGAAGAAAGCCAGATCTTCCCAGAGTCAGAGGTAAGATGGTGCTACAAAGAGAGAGGAATGGAAAGAGAAAAACACCCAGAAAGGAAAAAAAAAATACTAACAATAATCTATATGTAACGTCCAGCACTCATCTGTCAGTTTGCTGGGCAGGGGTAGCTTGTGTGTTGCTGTAATGCCGGAAGCGATGTCTCCAGTGTTTCAAATATCAACAGTCATTCATGGCAAACCAGATCAGCGAACAAGATTGAAGGTGTACTTCTGAAATAATTGGTTAGGATAAACTTTAAGAATAGCCTGGGAACAGTGTCTGATGAAGCCAGAAGATGAAGCCTTAGGCTAGGAGGTGCTCAGAATGTGATTGGAAAGTCATTGTTGTTGTAAGTGCTGCCAAGTCAGCTGCGACTCCTAGAGACCCTATGAACAAGGAATCTGAACCCGCCCTATCTCATTCCATTCTCACCAACTCTGACCTGCTCAAACCCACCATTCCAGTCACTGTATCGATTCATCTTGTTTGGGGTCTTTCCCTCCTTTACTGACCCTCCACCTTATCAAAAATTATGGCCTTTTTACTGTTGTAAAATGGGACTGACATCAGGGTTGAGAAAAGACAGAGAAGGAGGGGAGGAATGATGTATACTGTATTGAAACAGATGAGGGAGAGAACTGTTTAAAAGGGATATATGAGTGGGAATTATTGTCATGACAGGAGTACAGAGTGAAGGCTGCACAATGGAGTGGACTTGGGGGGAGGGATTGCATAACAATAAAAGATTTTTTCTTTTACTTTTCAAGGAGAAGAGTGAATGGGGAGGGGGGACAGGGAGAAAAGGAATAATTGGAAACCCTAAGTCTCTGTAAACTTTCAATAAAATTAATTTTTTTAAATGATGGCCTTTTCCAAGGACTAGCTACCCACCCCCACCCTCCGAACAAAATGCCCAAAGTATGTTAGATGGAGTTTCAATAGCCTTGCCTTGGAGGAACACCCTGGCTTAACCTATTCCTATCTTTCTGGCAGTCCACGAAGTCCAGAGATAACCATCACTCATCTCCAACACCACGGCTCAGTGGCATTGATTTGTCTTCTCTCTCCTTATTCATCTTCCAACTTTCAGCTGCATAGCAACTAATTGAAAAGATCATGGTTTGAAGCAGGTGCTCCTTAGTCTTCCAACTGTTATCTTTGCTCGCCAGCACTTTGGAGAGGTCCGTGACAGCAGACTTTCTCTATGTAGTATGTCTCCTGATCTGACTGCTGGTGCTAAAGGTGTTGATTGTGGATCTAAGCAAGATGAAATTATTGACAATTTCTATGTTTTCTCCACCTATCATAATATTGCCTATTATTGACCTCATGGTGAGGAATTTTGTTTTCCTAATTCTGCAAGTGAAGTAAAACTTTCAGGATCTTTATTTATTGGTGGACCTTTATTTTGTTACTGTGACTGTCTCAAAAGGAGAAGAAACAGCTGCAAGTGCCCATCGATAATCAGAACACATCCTGATGAAATATGAACCTTGGAAAATTAGAAGTTGTCAGAAGTGAAATTCAGCACATAAAAAATCTACATCCTAGGCAGTAGTGATCTACAATGGACTGGTATTGACCATTTTAATCAGACAGTAAAATAGTCTACTGTCTGGGGAACGACAAATTAAAGAGAAATGGTCTCACATATGTCATCAAAAAGAGCATTTCAAAATCTACCCTGAAATAGAACACTCTCAGCAATGGGTTATAGCAATAAGCATGCATGACAGACTTATTAACATAACCATTATTCAAATTTACACAACAATCACTAAAGTCAAAGATGAAGAAATTGAAGATCTCTACCAAATTCTGTGATCTGAAATTTTATCAGCCAAGCAATCAAGAAGCAATGGTAATTCTTGGTGATTGAAATGCAAAAGTTGGGGGAAAAAGATGGATCTGTGGTTGGAAAATATGACCTTAATGCTAGCAAGGAGACCAAAGACTGTGTGATAGAATTTTGCAATATCAAAGATTTACTCATTACAAAAAAAATCTTTTTTAAAAAATTCTTTTTTAAAAAAGAAAAATAAGTGGTGACTATAAATGAGACCTCACAGGAATCAAATTGGCTATGCTTATGGAAAGCGATAATCAGAAACTCAATATTATCCATCAGGACAAGGTCAAAAGTTGACTGTGGAACAGATCAACTTTCTCACATGCAAGTTCAAATTGAAATTAAAAAAATAACATGTTTAAAAATCCATGAAAATCAAAATACAACTTTGAGTATATACTACCTGAATTTAGAGATCATCTCAAAAGTAGATTTCTTTTTCATTACAAATTGTTGTTCTTGTTAAATGCCATAGAGTTGTAGGCGACTCTTAGCGATCCTATGAACTTTCGTCCTTTCTCCAAGTTCATAGGGTTTCCAGAGGCAAGCTCTTTTGGAAGTGGATGCCACTCCTGCTTCCAAGCTTGTTTTAATTGGGGAGCTCCACCAAACACTGTCCACCACGGATAATCAACATCCCATTTAGCACATCATGGTCACAGTGTTCAGCATCACAGCAATCACAAGCTACCGCTGTACAGCAAATCGACAGAGCAGGGCTATACCATCTAGAAGAGTGTTTGACCAAAATCAATTAAAAGCAGGCCAGAGGGACACAGATTAAAATGACCCACCTTTGGCTTGGTAGCATCACTTTCTGTCATCACAAATACCTTTCCTATTTTATTTTTATTGTGATTTGAGTGAAAGTTTATTAAGAAAAGTTTTTTTCATCAAGAATAGATCTGATACATTCAACAATAATAAATTATAAACAGATAAGCTATGTGATGATACCAAGGGCATCAGCCATGAAGAAAGCAAAGAATTGTTAAAAGGAGTGAAAAAATAAAAGTGGATGTCGAAAAGGACCCTGAAACTTACTCTAGAAGGTAGAATAGTAAAAGTGAAAAGAAGAAATGATGACATAAAAGAAAGAGTAAAAGATCTCTAACATTGGCTCAAGAAAACAAAGTATTAATTATAATGAAATGTTCAAAGACCTAGAGTTAGAATACCAAAAAGTGATGAACACACACAACATTTCTCAAAAAGAAAGAATCTAAAATTACTTTCAAGTCTTAAGTTGCAAAATACTGAATGGCACAGAAAGCATTAAAAAACTTGAACCAAATGCATATAACTGGTCCATGCTCAACCATTTCAGAAAGATGCCTATCTATGATCGATGCTTCAGTACCTATGGTACTAAAGAAAAAAAGTCAAAACTGTCCAGAAAGCATTGGTAAAAAACAAGGCTCCAGGAACGGACGGAATACCAGATGAAATGTTTCAACAAGCACATACAACACACACAGGATATGCTCACTTATCTACATCAAGTAATTTGGTTCCTGACCAACCATATTTGTACCTATCCCCCCAAAAAAAGGCTATTGAGTAGAATATAAAATGTGTCAACCAATATCAATAATATATTCAAGTAAAAAATCTTATTGAAGATTATTCAAAATGGAGAATAGACAACTGCCAGAAATTCAAGTTGTTTCAAAAGAAGCCACGAAAGAGGGGAGGTAGTCCATCATTGCTGACATCAGCAATGGCTGGAAGCAGAAGATACCAGAATGATATTTGTTGTTGTTGTTATGTGCCCTCAAGTCACCTATGACTCACAGCGACTCTATGTACAACAGCTCTGAACCCTACTCTATCCTGAGAAAACCTCACTGTCTCGGAAATACCTTCCCCCATTACCTGAGTCATTGTGCCAATCCATTTCATAGTGGATCTTCCCCTCCTGCACTGTCCCTCCACTCTCCCAAGCATGATCCCTCTCCAAGGACTAACTGGTCCCTCCTTGTAACATGACCAAAGTATGTCAGACGGAGCTTCAGATTCCTTGCCTCCAAAGAGCAGCCTGATTTCACCCTCTCCAGAATGAACCTGTTCATTCTCTTAGCAGTCCATGGTATATTCAATACTCTTCTCCAGCACCACAGCTCAAAGGCATCAATTAATTCTCCTTCTAGCATCCCTAGTCACTGACCAGCTCTCTGATATGTAGCACATAATGCAAAGACCATGGCCTCGATCAAGTGCACCTTAATCTCCAGACTGACATCGTTGCTCTTCAGTACTCTGGAAAGATCCCTGATAGCAGACTTTTCCAATGCAATTCGTCTTTTGATTTACTGGCTGCTGATACCAAGAGTGTTGATTGTGGAGCCAAGCAAACTAAAGCTGTTAATAATCTCTGAATCAGGCAGTTTGAATAGCAGTGTGACAGAGTAGCTGGTGGGAGATCGTTGGGTATTTAACTAGCCCTTTCTCTGCCTGATTGTGCGAACTTCAGCAAAATTCTAAATGCCTGGAGGTAAGGCTGGGAAAGACTCCGGAAAGGCCAAGACAAAGGCTGTTTCCTCCTTGCAGAGAGCCAGCTTGCAGTTCCCAGTGGGCTGTATTCATCGACACCTGAAATCTAGGACAACCAGCCACGAACGTGTGGGCGCAACTGCCACTGTGCACAGCATAGCCATCCTAGAGTAGCACACCACAGAGGTACTTGAATTGGCAGGAGATGCATCAAAAGACTTAAAGGTAAAACATACTACAGCTCATTACTTGCAACTTACTATTCCAGGAGATGAAGAATTGGACTCTTTCATCAAGGCTACAATTGCTGGTGGTGGTGTCATTGCACATACCCACAAATCTCTGATTGGGAAGAAAGGACAATAAGCCTTCTAAAGGACACCTGAATTCCTTACTATCTCCGGACTCTAAATTCTCTAACAGCTGCCCAGTATTGGTGACTCCAGTAGGATGCATCTCTGTGAAAAACACAATTTTGCCTTTTTGTAGTTCTATTTGAGCAAGTTGAGAGTTTAATTAGCTTTCCAACCAATCAAATTTCTGCATTCGAGTCTTAACCATATTTAAGTATTACTGTGACTTCAAAGAAGCTATTGATTCTGAAGTAGTGGGTTTTGATTAACTGTTTTTAAAAAACTGGATTTCAGTTGTGATGCAGAAGTTACAGTAACAAACATTTGGTTTTGTACAGACATTATTTCCACTCTGGTCGATAAGTTCAATAAAGGTCATATCCCAAACTAAAAAAAAAATAATAATAATTTCAGAGACAGTTAGTTTGTTGTGATTCACAAAGTTAAACTGCTTTGCATAGTCAATGTAACACAGACATTCCTCTGGTACTCTCTGCTTTCAGCTAAGAGCTATCTAATATTGCTATAATATCCGTAGTACCATGGCCTTTTCTAAGTCTAGCCTGCACATCTGGCAGTTTTCAGTCATTTTTGGATAATTTTCAGTAGAATCTTGCTTGTATGCAATATCAGTAGTATTGTTCAATAATTTCCTCACTCTGTCAAGTCACCTTTCTTTGGAATGGGAACAAATATAGGTCTCTTCCAGTCAGTTGGCCAGGTAGTTGTCCTCTAGATTTCTTAACACAAGTTGGTGGGCATGTCCAGGGCTGTGTCTGTTTGTTGGAATATGTCAACTGGTATGCCATCAGTTCCTGGGGCTTTGTATTTTGCCAATTCTTTCAGAGCAGCTTGACCTTCTTCCTTCATCACCACAGGCTCTTGCTCATATATTGCTTTATGAAATTCTTCTGTGTCAGCCAATTTTTTTTGGCACAGTGACTCTATACGTCTTCCATCTTCTTTTAATGCTTTCTGGATCATTTGGCATTCTGCCCATAACATTCTTAAGCATTGCAACTCGAAGCTTGAATTTGTTCTTCAATCCCTTCAGCTTAAGAAAGGCCAAGCAAGTTCAACCTTTTTTATTTTCTGACTGTAGCTCTTTTCATGTTTCTTTATAATATTTTGCTTTGTCTTCCCACACTGCCCTTTGAAATCTTCTGTTCAGCTCCTTAATTTCTTGATTTCTTCCTGAGTTTTATTGCCTATGCAAAGGCATTCAATTGTGTGGATCATAATAAATCAGGGATAACGTTGAGAAGAATGGGAACTCCAGAACACCTAATTGTGTTCACACAGAACTTGTAGGTAGGTGGTCACTCACACAAAACAAGGATACTGAATGGCTGAAAATCAGGGCAGGTGTGCATCCTTGGAAATGAGGACGGAGAGACCTAGTCTCACAGATTTTGGACGCATAATCAGGAGGGACTAGTCCCTGGAGAAGCACATCATGCTCCATAAACTAGAGTGGCAGCAAAAAAGAAGAGAAGATTCTCAATGAGACGGACTGATTTAGTACCTGCAACAATAAACTCTAACACAGCACCAATGGTGAGTGAGGATCGGACAGGACTGGGCAGTACTTCTGTTGTGCACAAAGTCATTATGAGCTGGAGCTCAAGAGCCCCTAACAACAACAATAACATGTCATGTGCGCAAGTATCAATTCAGGCTCACGCAGCAGTGAGAGACTGAGTCAGCAACGGAGCAAGAGGGCTTCTCAAGATGACACGAGCTGAAACTCAAAAGCTGAAGAATGAGCCAAGTGGAAGTAGCAGAAGGGCGAAAAGGATGGAGCAAGAGCTGGTCAGCACCACTGGTCTACAAAGTCTCCCTGGGCAGTGGGCGTGGGCCAGAGCACCTGGCCTGGCAGGCCTCCACAAAGAGCTTGGCAGCAGCGGAAATCACTGAAGGCCACAGGGGCAGAAATATGACTGAGTGCAGGAATGAGACTGTTGCGAGATGATACGCAGCCTCACAGGTCCCACGTGAACCCACCTCTGCCACTGTGGTGTCACGGGTTTATTGTTCAAAATGGCTCTCCCTGCCATTGACTTTGACTTTCACCACATGCCCCGGTGAGAACATCCAACAAGGTACATATAAATGATTCATGAGGGAATTGGTCAGTTTTGTCATCCCACCAGGCTTAAATGTGAGCTGGTTTCACAGAGAAGAGGGAAATTGCACTGCCAGCAAGGAAGGAGAAGAAAATACCTCCTTTGGGGCCAGAGATTCCTGTGTTGATCAGACCAGGACCCATGCAAGAGCAACAACAACTTCAGTGGGGAACCGAAGACCAATGAGGAGGACACAGAGTGACTGAGTGCTGCTGCCCCACAGAGCCAGAGCCAGCAGCTTTCACCAAGCTTGCTAGAGGACTTGGAGGGAGGGGATACCACAGTTGTCAGGACCAAGAGAATTTTATCACACTGGCCTCAGCCATGGAGCTGAAGGTCAAAGGGCTTCTAAGTGTGTTTGAAAAACTGTCCTGTCTGAGGAGTTGGATCCTGCCTCCAACCTGAATTGTAACCTTTAACTTCCCTATTACACCCCATAACCCTGAGTGTGGTTCTGTGTGGTCTGTGTGGCCATGGCAACAGCTCCTGGATGCAGGAGAAGGGAAGTGAGAGCCCTGCAAGGGATTGTTAATGTTAAAACAGGTGCAGGAGCCTGGAGGACATGTCTGACTTCACAGCAATTTGTTTTGTGCTATGAGTGTTGATGATGAGAACACGTCCTCCTGGTGGAGTTAGTAGAAGTCAGAAGTGACCATCTAGCCATTCACAGCCTGGATATATCACCTTAGGACTGCTGTCCAGCAAATAAAATGCAAGATGCTGAGTCACATCTTAACTTCAGGTCAACAAGGAATCATGATGAATTAGAAATGACTCTTTATAAACAAGTTTTTGGGTTTTCACGTCCTGGGCAGCATCCCAGTTAATTGACCTGATTACGTGTTTAGTGGTTCTGTTCTACCGCCTAATTTAGTGCATACTGACTGAGATCATAAAAGCTTGCAAGCTTCCACCAAAGTACAATAATTGGTCTCTATTCATGGTTTCTAGTGAACTTGTTTTGATTCTCTTCAGCTTCTATTTGAACTTGCACATGAGTAATTGATGGTCTTTTCCACAGTCAGCACCTGTCCTGCTCTAGACTTCTGACATTGCGTTTCTCCAAGAATTTTTCCTACATATCAGTCTGATTCCTGTGAAATCCATCATATGAGGTTCATGTGTGTAGTTGCTGTTCATGTTTTTTGAAAGAATGTATTTGCAATTAGTAAGTCACCGGTTATTCAAAATTCAATCATTATATCTCCAGTCTCATTTCTGTCGCCAACCAACCCTCCTCCTTTGTTTCCAATTTTTGCATTCCAGTCACCAATTACTATTAATGCATCCTAAGCGCATGTTCTATCAATTTCAGATTGCAAAAGTTAGTAGGAATCCTCAATCCTCTTTGGCTTTGGTTGTTGGTGCATATATTTGAATAACAGTCTTCCTTGAATAACAGTCTTCCTTGTATGTGTATCCTATCACTCACAACATTGTAACTTCAAGATGGATCTTGAAATGGTCTGTCCCTCCCTCCCTCCCTTCTTTCCTTCCTTCCTTCCT